CGTTTGCAGTGACAGAATAATGACAGAATGAGCTTCAGTGACCCGTTACACACAGGACATTAACTCCACATGTGGTGTTTTCAAGACAAGACCGAGAGCTGAGTTATCGCCACTTACTGACCGAGTCTTTATAGAACTGCCTCAACAACTAAAATACACATACTCACCGATTAATCTGCTCCTTTTTCCAGCCCAACTTCTGACTCTGCGGTTTAATCTAAAAACGTTCACACGTGAATTTTCCCTCAACACGTTGCAGAAGAACATCCGGCGCACATCAGTGACGTAGGGATGGTGACCACGCGCGTGCACACACAACGACCGTTGAGGAGACGTTTTTTTTCAATTTTACACAACGTTAAAAAAAGTACGACGGACTAAGAAAAATATTATATTTTTTGGGGGGAAATTACGAGAATAAAGTTACAATGTTACCAAAATAAAGTTGTAATGTTACAGGAATAAAGTTGTAATGTTACAGGAATAAAGTTGTAATATTACGAGAATAAAGTTGTAATGTTACGAGAATAAATTCGTAATAATATGAGAATAAAGTTGTAATGTTACGAGAATAAATCGTAATAAAAGAATAAATTTAACGTTACCCCCAATAAAGCGTAATATTACGAAATAATGTTGAAATTACAGAAATAATATTCCCGAATAAGGAGAAAAAGGTAATGTTACGAGAATAAATCCTAATAATATGAAAAAGTTTAATTTACCGAGAAAAGTCGCGATAATACGAAATAAAGTTGTAATTTACGAAAATCAAATCTGGGGCGAGGCGCGCGGCCGAGGTTGTTCTTTAGTGGTTTTGTTAGTTCGTGTTTGTATATTTGTGTTTGGGGGGGTGTTGTTGGTTGATTTTTGTTTTTTTTTTGGTTATTTTGTTTTTGTGTTGTTTAGTTTTTTGACGACCCAGACTGTAACGGCAACAGACAAAAGGGGCGCTGTGGCTCCACGCGAGCCGCTGAAATTAAATTAAAAAAACCTTAAACAGGCTCACTCAAGAAAAACTAAAAATGAACTTTTTTGCTGAAAAAAAATAATCCTGTAAGATTGTCCAACCTGTCTCAAACTGTAACGAGGCCCAATCTGTCTCCTGTTCAGCAACACTGAGAATCGTCAGTAAAAATAATGACATTAATAATTTCATCAGATATCTGTGTTTATATACACATAATATGATTAGTAACTCATGGTGTACATATATGGAAAAAAACATTATTAATTCAGAGCCCTTATTATCTTTAGAATGTTTAAAAGGAAAAAATTATCATCATGTACAACTCCTGAATCAGTTTGATTCATTTTTCACCATGAAACACTGTTGCGGAAGAAGGACAACATATCTGCAACTGTTCTAAAAACCCAGACGAGACCTGTGTGACATTACATGTCTCCTGGTATACGGTGTTAGATAGTGGTGTCACACCAATATAATACCAGCCTCTGTCCACCCATGGCCGTGTGTGACAGAATTGGAACCTAAAGTTCTATCATATGGTGGACTTTCCCTTGTTGTTTGCCCCTGGCTGGTGCTGACATTAAACATGCAGAGAACAACACACCACCCTGTGGTTAGTCAGAGGAAGTGCAAGGGTATCCAGATGAATGCTCAATGATGGTCGCCACGTGACGACGTGATGATGCCTTTTATTTTACTGGTATAAGAAACACAGCGACAATCAAACTAGTGGATAAAAAACACACCACATGTAAACGAGAACTTTAGTATTACTGTTCATTAATTGTTAGCTACTTCTAAAAATAATTCAAATACTATTTTCTACTAGCGCACTCAGTTTTAATCCATTTTATTTGCGCAGTGAAACGCACGTTGGAGAGGAATTCTCCCGAGGTAACGCGGTGCTGCGCATGCAACGTTGTCCTCCTCCTCCTGTGTTTTCACTGCGTCCCTGAAAAGGCGAACAGGTCTGACATTTGTCTGTTGGTCAGTCGTCCTGAAGGCAACAGTCATGACTTGTCTGTTGGTCAAGTCCGTCCCTGAAAGGCAACCACGTCTGACATTGTCTGTTGGCTCAAGTGGTCCCTGAAGGCAACGAGTCTGACATTGTCTGTTGGTCAGTCGTCCCCTCGAAGGCAACAGTGCTGACATTGTCTGTTGGTCAGTGGTCCCTGAAGGCGCAACAGTTCTGACATTGTCTGGTTGTCAGTAAAGGCAACAGTCGTCCCTGAAGGCAACAGTCTGACATTGTCTGTTGGTCAGTGGTCCCTGAAGGCAACAGTCTGACATTGTCTGTTGGTCAGTGGTCCCTGAAGGCTGATGTTAATCATGTAACACTGCTGACTGCCTGATCAATGGCTACCATTAACATACTGTCTATTGTATTGGTTCTTGTATAAAAGTACCTTGTTTCATTTGTTCTGGGTCCACTCACCGACTCAGACCTGCTCTGCGTGTAAGTTCACCAGGATGTCGGCATGCTTTATTAAACTGACACAACCACAGCAAACCTGAACTGGACTGGAACGATTTTTCTTCAACACAACAATAAATTAAAAACAGTAAAAACAACTAAGGCTATAACATTACTCCAAAGTAAAAGCCAGATTTAAAAGATAGGTCTTTAACTTTGGTAATAAAATGTTGTTTTATGAATTAGCTGTGATTATGAAAACATGCTAAACTTTGACTGCTGTATTTCAGGAGAGACTCAATTAAAAAAATATCTTTGAAGAGACATTCAATTAATTAATCATTATCTGCACACCAGGATCCTCAAAACTTCCTGGAATTTAGATACAAATAAACTTTATTTATACATCAGAAACATTATATTTCAGTATATTCCTGCTCTGGTATTTATTTCTTAGCTTCTATTATTAATATCTGGTTTCATTTCTTTACATTTTGATAATGATTGATAATAATTTCTCTCCTTTTTTAATTTCAGAAGTGGGATTTAGTTAAATATTTACTCTGTTTTAGCTAAAAGTGGCCACGAGATGTCGCCAGCAGAGAAATTCCTGAACTTGAGGTTTTATTTTAATCTGAAAACTTTCCTTTTAAACTTGTATCATTTAGTTTATTTGACAGAATTAAATTAAAATGTGTAAAATGTTCAAAGCAGGCACTAAATGAAACTACCATGGGGGTGTTTCCGCTGTGTTTTGGGGGATTTTGGGTGAAATCTCGTTTTAAAGCTGCAACAAGCTAAATGAGCTCATACCGGAAGTCATGGTGTCTTCCTATCAAAATAAATGGGACAGTCTGACATACAGAAGGAGGTGAGTCTGGAACAATTCAAATAATACAGAGATTAAATCTAATTGTTTGTTTTTTTCTTCCTAAAGAAATAAGGACGGTTTGTTTATGAAAGTCACATATTTTCCATAATTATAAATTTAGCCAATTAATCTTTTAAATGTGATTTGGGGGAGTCGTTCACTGTTCCCTGTATACGTCTGCAGTTCCTCTCCTCATTATTAACATTATTAACTAATACTTTATAAACATTGTTTATGTACCTTTTACTTAAGTACGTAGGATACTTCTACCTGCAACAACTGTAATAATTCCATTATTATTTACCTTCTTTATGACTTTATTAACTTTACAACAATGAATTAATTAGATTTAATTAAAAACACTAATAAAATATGATTATTATAGATTAAGATACACAGAAGTAAAGTAATTAGTATAAAATCAGCCTCACGTTTAGCAGCTGTGACATTAAAGTGATGAACACATGAATCTATCTCTGATTATAATCCGGTAATGTAATACATTTTATTATGAAATGTGCCATTCTGCATGATTAAAACTTTAACTTTTGTTACTTTAAGTATCCATAAGTAAAATATAAATACAGTAAATACTGTAAATGCTCATATATTCTACTTTATTGCATATAGAGTTTATATTTTATATTTTATTTTATTATATTTCTTTACTCTTTGCACTTCACCTCTTTGTGCTGCTGGATTTCCAACTTTTAGTCCTTTTTACATTCCTGATAATTGGTTGCATATAACTCTTGTTCTTCATGCTTTTACTTTGACAGCCGCTACCGGAACCCGTAGGTCTTGTGTTTTACTTTGACAGGGGCCGCAGTTTCCGGTGTGGGCGAGGCTCAGAGACAGCTGCGGAGCTCCGAGACTCAAAACCTTCAGTTTGTTTTTATTCAGCAGCAGAAAAATTATTCTTAAAAGCAAAAAAACTCCAGAAAACAAACAAATAAAAGAAGAAAAACAAACAAACAACTGAATCTCTTCACTTCCGGCTCAGAAACCTGCAGAAAGTGTCCGGTGAGTCCGGTCCCGTTATTTCTTTGTCTGCATTTGATTCAAGATCAACATGAAAACTGGAGATTTATAATGAAGTGAAGTTATTTTAAAATCTGTTTAATTTCAGACAACAACAAACAAAACTGTTATTTTAGTTCTTCGCTGAGAAACAGTGAACTTTCTTTATCTTCATTATGACAGATTAATTATATATGTAATATTAATAATAATTATCTTTATCATGGAAATACTACAGGAATGTTGCAGCTAAAAATATCGTCCATATGCACAATGTAAAGAGTCAGATATAGTTAGAAAATATAGAATAAAATATTTAATTTAATAGTCCGGACAGTAAAACACTTTAAGGCATTAGAGCAATATTGTAAATAATGAAAAAGACTCAAAATATGACAGACAAATGTTAATAAATGCTCTTCCCAGCAGCTCAAACACTAAGTATGAATATTATTGGACTATTATATAAACTAAAATGCATTAATGTGACATTATTAGGACTATTATGTGTCTGTAAGCTCTAAACAGAGCAGTAATAATACTAATAAAGCCCCGTTAGAGGGGAGAATAAACAGTGAAGCTGCTGGAAACTGTGGGGGAATAAAAGCATCCAACAGGAAGTGAGCTGCTGATGGTGAAATGGTTTGATCCTCTTCCTGTTACGCATTTTCCTCCAACATCAGCAGCTCCAGCAGAGTCAGTCTGCTGCTGCAGGGAATGCTGGGAAACAGAGCAGGGAGAGTCCATATGATACAGACGGGGGGTTGAATAAATGAATAAATGTAATCTTGTTGTAAAGCCTTCAAGGTGCAGAGATACAGGACTCTTATTTTGAAATATTATATTAATACAGTTTATTATTGTTGTGTTTTCTTTATATAATGAACATTTCACATTCTTTAGATTTAAATTGATCAGCTGTTTTGATATTTAATTAATGCTTTTGTTTGTGTTGTGGATGAAATAAAACATTAGAGACACTGACTCACATCTTTCACTATTTTCTGACATTATACGAACCAATCGATCGATTAATCGAGAAAATGGGAGACAGATGGATCGATAATGAAAAGAATTGTTAGTGTAAGCCTTTATATTCTTTATATTCTCCCTCTGGCGCCACCTGCAGGACAACAGTGAAATTAATCCTGATGTTTGTTTGTGCTCTCGAGGACCGTTAGTGTCGTTTTAAATCCCGAGGAGCATTTTTCAGTTGGAACAAGAGAGAGGATGGGAAGGGAAACTCCCTCTCTCTCTCCCTCCCTCCTTCCCTCATTCACTGTCACACAGAGGGTCTCTGTTTGCAGCCCACCAACAGTCGCTGACCCAGTTCATCCGACTGTCAGAGAGTTTTTATGTGACACAGTTTGAACAAAAAGAAAAGTGTACTCTTTTACTCTCCCGTCCTGACTCTCACACATATATTTAAACATTTAAAACAGGACTGAAACTTCTCCATCTGCAGTCTAATGTCAAACTCTGACACTAAATCAGCTTTAAAAACAACAAAATAATGACGTAAATCAATAAATAATGAAGGATTAAGATTGTTTTAGCTGCACATTGAATCCAGATGTTACTGAAATTGCAGATGTTTGTTTGATGAAGGTAAAATGTACAGATCATCTGTGAATTAACATTATAACTGTGATTCATTTCACAATATCTGTTAAAATAATGATGTTTTTATTACATCGGATAATCTGTGAGTCTGGATAAAAGTATACAAACAGTAGAAATATTGATTCATAGAAACCACTTAATGATTTAAAAAGCTGAAGAAAACAGGAACATTCCACAAAATATATTTGGAATAATCTGCTTTCTTTAAGATATTTACATGAAGCGTTTTATTGATTTTATTGTTAGAATAAAAGCATCAGTCGACTGTAAAGGACGTAAACATGTTTTCTGATTTCCTGCCAGCAGGAGCCTCAGTCGGACTCTCTCCAGGTTACCTGAGTCAGAGTCTGATACAGGTGATCCTGGATGACCATCTGCATACTCATTACATCACACATTAGAGTTAAAGCTTCACAGAGGGAAATTCGGAAGTCTGAAATCAGAAAATACTGTCAAAAATACATTTTGTACATATTTTTTTAAAATAAATGTGGTATAAAACAGGCTGTGAATGATATATGAGCAAATCTCTCTATACAAACCTTCAGAATACAGAGAGGAATAACACTGGAAGGTTTGGAGTCTGTAGGAGCTGCTGAAGTGAAGATTTCTGCCTCAGATTATGAGAAAAGCTCATTTTGAGAAAACAGCCTTTAAAGATATATACTGTAAAACTCACTACAGGTGAATGGGGTCAACATTTAAACTAACAGATATCAGAATGAAACTTCCCCAGTTGATTACTCACATTAAGACAATTATCTTTTGTACTACAAGTTTTCTAAAAATGTTAAAATATAAAATATATACAGTGTAATGCAATATGTAAACACCTAAATGTCCCCCTGATGTCTCACTGTCAGCTGGTTTCTGGAGCACATTGTGTCACAGGAAACAAACACGTGACTGCCGTAACTTCAGTGTGAGAGTTAAAGTTCCTCCCAGCAGACGCAGAGTTAACAGGAAACATGAGCTCAGAGTCACAGCCCCTCTGTTTTTCTTCTCTTCTGCACAGTTTCTCAGGCTGCTGCTGCAGGATGTGAGAGAACAACAACACCGACCCTGAACACTGACGGCAGCCACCAACTCGTTTAAAGGTAGGGCTTATATATAAACACACTTTGTTATAAATGTCCTGCTCTTATTGTGTCGTCTGATCGGTTTGGATTAGATTAGTTTTAGCTTGATGAACTGAGTTAATCCCTGGAGGGCTCAGACTGACTCCTAATGAGCTACAGGAGAACAGATTCTTTCGTCTGTCTGCTGGATTTTATTCCACTTTGTTCCTCCTGTTTCTTTTCTTTTTAACTTTATTTTTGTCATTTTTGTTCAGGAGCACTCGTTGTAGATTTGAGTTAGGGGTTACTTTCCCAACAGTCCCACA